AAACTACAATATATTTTTTTATATTCTTACCAACAATGACTTGATGAATGTGTTTTGGTGTCAAAATTATGCTGCAATCATTTTTTTCTTGGAGTGTGGATGGCTCTGATTTAAATGTTTCATGAACCTGTAAAAAAAATAACATTGTTTCAAAATTAATCATTCAATATTAGCAAAAGCTATTTTAAGAATTCTCTCAGTATAACCAAATGTAAAATATTGCACATACCTTTCTTCTTAGGGATGCTTTCTCCCTAGATTCTATATTCCTGGCACTTAGCATTTGATTAGGTTTGATCGGACACTCTGCTGAAGCAAGCTCCTCTTCCACTTCTGCTTCTGAGAGTGAGGGTGACTTTAAACCTGATGCTGGCTGTAAGCCTATGTCTATATCATTATGTGAAAACACGCACTCCCTATCAAAATAAGAATAATAATAAGTAATTGAGTCCAAGTCATTTAGAAAATATATCTGTAAATACAAATATTCCCCATGGCGCATGCTGCTGCCACCTCACTCATATTCACTTAACCAGAACAGTGCACTATTGTGCAGGAAATTGTCCTCTGCTGAGGGTTCCCCTTTCTCAAGCACCTCACCAGGAAGTTATGCCCAACCCTGCCACACTCAGGGACAGCTCACAGTCAATGACTGATATGGAGCACAAAAGACAAATCCCTTTGGCTCAAGGAAGTAACAACTATGTGGTATAATTTAGGCTCAAGAGACCCTGGGCATTAGGTTCACAGTGTAAACTTTATTTAAAACACATACTTCCTCGGCTCTCTTCCCTGCCCTACTCTGCTTTCCTCATCCTGAGAGCACACTCTCCATAAGTCACAGGTACTGGAATCCCTATCTCAGGATCTGCTTCTGGGGAAACTCATCTAAGACATCTTCAAATCAAAAAGTAACAAAAGAAATAATTGTAGTTAAAGTAGTTCAATGTTTTGCTTTTATCATATATTAAAATGTCATTTAAATCACTAAAAAGAAACTAAGG